CCTGTTTGACGACTGTGTCAGATTTAATTACTAATGCTTTGAAGACCTGTTTAACGACTCTGTCAGGTTTAATTACTAGTGTTTTGAAGACCTGTTTAACGACTCTGTCAGGTTTAATTACTAATGTTTTGAAGACCTGTTTAACGACTGTGTCAGGTTTAATTACTAATGCTTTGAAGACCTGTTTAACGACTGTGTCAGATTTAATTACTAATGCTTTGACGACCTGTTTAACGACTGTGTCAGATTTAATTACTAATGCTTTGACGACCTGTTTAACGACTGTGTCAGATTTAACTACTAATGTTTTGAAGACCTGTTTAACGACTCTGTCAGGTTTAATTACTAATAAACAAACATTCTCTGAGATTTATCACCTTGTTAAACTGAAACGGATAGTAATAAACAAGCATACTATCGGTTCGCTCATCTTTTTTCTTTTTCTTTACAGAATATTCTTTTTGTTCCACAGTGGGACAGACTTAAGTTTGTAGACTTAAAGCGATAAAATCCGGGCTTTTAACTAGAAGAAACAAACAGTTCAAACTGTCCAATTACCGTGGTGTGTTTCAGCACCTGACTTTTCATGGCTAATTTTGAATGATTATTTTCTCTAGGTATTGGATATGGAACAACCATCATCTGTTTCTTCCTCAACATCTACTACATTGTGATTTTAAGCTGGGCGGTTTTGTATCTGTTTCACTCGTTTACGTCATCGTTGCCATGGGCTTCATGTAATAATGACTGGAATACTAAGAACTGTTGGAGTCAGAGTAATGTGAGTTTAGAAGCTAACAACTGGACATCTGGAGAAAAAACTGTGGATCCAGTTGTGGAATTCTGGGAGTAAGTTTTAGATGGTTGTTACGAGTTTTAGCTTAACCTTTTAATCCGACCTCACTAGAGTTTTAACATGCTGTTTTAATTCGTACTCAGTAAAGCCGTTATGAGTTTTAGCTTAACCTTTTAATCCGACCTCACTAGAGTTTTAACATGCTGTTTTAATTCGTACTCAGTAAAGCCGTTATGAGTTTTAGCTTAAGTTTTCAATCCGACCTCACTAGAGTTTTAACATGCTGTTTTAATTCGTACTCAGTAAAGCCGTTATGAGTTTTAGCTTAAGTTTTCAATCCATTCTTACGTGAGTTTAACAAGCGCTTTTAATCCATTCTAGTGAAAGTTTTAACATAGAGCTCTAATCAGATTTGACGTATATTAAGTTCGTAAGAGCACATGTTTTTGACTAAGCTTAACTAAGCAGATCAATCATAGTGATAAACCCTCCTCTCTCTCTCTAATGATGCTGACGTATTATATATGTTATATATATATATACATATTAAATACATCAGTTTTAACACGTGCCCTAGACTAACGTAAACATAGTGTGTGTGGAAGCGAATCAAAAATGTATAGTGATACACCCTCCTCTCTATATATTCATAAATGTTACGTCTATAAGAAACATACTGTGTTCTAGAATATGGCTTGAACCCAAGTTGTTCTTCACTGGTTATATGCTTTGTGAATTTTCAAATTTGTAACAAGAGTTATTATCATTGTTATTTTTACAGAAGAAAAATTCTGAAAATCTCAAGTGGTATTGATGAACCGGGAACCGTGAACTGGGACTTAGCTCTGTGTCTTCTATTGGTGTGGATCCTCTGTTATTTTTGTATATGGAAAGGTGTTAAATCCACAGGAAAGGTAGGATTCTCTGTTACTTCTGTACATGGAAATGTGTTAAATCTACAGGAAAGGTAGGATTCTCTGTTACTTCTGTACATGGAAATGTGTTAAATCTACAGGAAAGGTAGGATTCTCTGTTACTTCTGTACATGGAAAGGTGTTAAATCTACAAGAAAGGTAGGATTCTCTGTTACTTCTGTACATGGAAAGGTGTTAAATTAACAGGAAAGGTAGAATTCTCTGTTATTTTTGTATATGGAAAGGTGTTAATCAACAGGAAAGGTAGGATTCTCTGTTACTTCTGTACATGGAAAGGTGTTAAATCTACATAACAAGGTAGAAGCCCTTGTTATTTCTGTACATGGAAAGGTATTACATGTAAGATATGATCTTATTAAACTGACTTACAAGGACAATTTTGTAAGTGTGTTATAAAGGACAAAGAAACCACATATTTCTTGAATCTACCTACATTCTCTACCTTACAGCGAAAAATAAGTATAAACTCCAACGAGAGAATTTATTTCAACCCTAAAACATTGTCGACCAATTAGTAATAAATTATTAGCCTGTTTGTTTATTGTTTAAAACTTTGTTGATAATAAGCTCAACTATAACAATCTAAAGGAATAAATTATACATTACCATGAGTTTACTAAGTTTTTCACTGATAATAGTTTATTAAAACTTTACATTGCTGGCGGTATATTATACCTTTACCATCTCTAACAGTTTATTAAAGCTTTCTGTTGCCAGCGGTTTATTAAAAGTTTACATTGCTAGCGGTTTATTATACCTTTACCATCTCTAACAGTTTATTAAAGCTTTCTGTTGCCAGCGGGTTATTAAAACTTTACATTGCTAGCGGTATATTATACCTTTACCATCTCTAACAGTTTATTAAAGCTTTCTGTTGCCAGCGGTTTATTAAAAGTTTACATTGCTAGCGGTATATTATACCTTTACCATCTCTAACAGTTTATTAAAGCTTTCTGTTGCCAACAGTTTATTAAAAGTTTACATTGCTAGCGGTATATTATACCTTTACCATCTCTAACAGTTTATTAAAGCTTTCTGTTGCCAGCGGTTTATTAAAACTTTACATTGCTGGCGGTATATTATACCTTTACCATCTCTAACAGTTTATTAAAGCTTTCTGTTGCCAACAGTTTATTAAATCTTTCTATTGCCAGTGGCTTATTAAAAGTTTTCCATTGTCAGTGGTTTATTAAAACTTTCCTTTTGCTAGTAGTTTATTAAAAGTTTTCCATTACTAGTGGTTTATTAAAACTTTTCCTTTGTCAGTTGTTTATTAAAACTTTCCCATTGTCAGTAGTTTATTAAAACTTTCCCATTGTCAGTGGTTTATTAAAACTTTTCCATTGTCAGTGGTTTGTTAAAACTTTCTCATTGCTAATAGTTTATTAAAAGTTTTTCCATTACTAGTGGTTTATTAAAACTTTTCCATTGTCAGTTGTTTATTAAAACTTTTCTTTTGTCAGTTGTTTATTAAAACTTTCCCATTGTCAGTAGTTTATTAAAACTTTTCTTTTGTCAGTAGTTTATTAAAACTTTTCCTTTGTCAGTTGTTTATTAAAAATTTTCCATAGTCAGTGTTTATTAAAAACTTTCCCATTGCTAGTAGTTTATTAAAAGTTTTCCATTACTAGTGGTTTATTAAAACTTTTCCTTTGTCAGTTGTTTATTAAAAAATTTCCATAGTCAGTGGTTTATTGCAATACTTTCTTATTAAGTGAAAATAACGTTTAAAGGAACAAAGGAGTCTAATTAACAAACTAAGTCAATTCGTGATAAGACTAAACACATAAATAGTAAACAGTATTTTTTCTATGATTTTAGGTACTAAAAAAGTACTATTCGTAAATTAATACTTTTTAAGTCGTTAGTGACATTTGAATGTTAATGATATGTAATTCAATGAATATATTTAAAAGAAATTGTAAAAAATGCATACATTTATTAATTTCCAAAATATTTACGTACTTGTGAAATAAATTAGGAAGCTATTTGAATTTAAAACTACAGTCATTCCAAGAAAAAACTATTTGTTTGTTAGATTTTAATCGCGAAACCACACAACTAGCTATCAGCACCGTGCCCACCACGTGGTTCTAGCGGTCAGAGCCCTTAGAGTTACCGCTGATCCACTGGGTGAAACAAAAACGAACTATATTTTGAGTGGTATTTTCGACAATGCAAAGATTTATTGATAAACATTAATTAATTTGCCCAATGATTACTGTTCTGTTTTTGCAGTTTCTGAAATTATTAATTTGTACGATTTACAGGTAGTATACTTCACAGCCTTATTTCCATACGTTATGCTGACAGTACTGTTGATTAGAGGAGTAACGCTTCCTGGTGCTAGGGAAGGGATTCTCTTTTATCTCTACCCAGATTTCTCTCGCCTGTTGGACGGCCAGGTGTGTAACTTTTCTTTACTAGTTAAGAGCTAGTTGTAACACAGTCTGACAATGGAAGAGGGCCTTCTCTCTCTCGTTACACGATGGACATTTCTTTATTACCTTTCTCCCTTCAGTAGCACTATTTTGTAGTAGGAGGGTCATTTATTATGTAAAACAGACAATTATGCAACTATTTTATTTTTCCTAGTCTTATGATAGTAGTAACACTGTCTGATAATAGGGAGTGTCCTCTGTTACTGCAAGATAATAATTAAATAACACTTCTTTCTAATGTTTTGATAGTAAAACTGTCTGATAATAGGGAGTGTCCTCTGTTACTGCAAGATAATAATTAAATAACACTTCTTTCTAATGTTTTGGCAGTAACACTTTCTGATAAAAGGGAGTGTCCTCTGTTACTGCAAAATAATAATTAAATAACACGTCTTTCTAATGTTTTGGTAATAACACTTTCTGATAATAAAGAGTGTCCTATGTTACTGCAAAATTTCGAAAATGCCAGTTAATGAGATTATCTATAGATGTATCTAAGCTAATGACATTCTATAAATGACATCAAAGTTGATACCTGTCTCTATAGGTGATAGCTAAGTTGATGCCTGTCTATATAGAATATATATAAGTTGTTGCTTGACTCTATAGGTGATAACTAAGTTGATGCCTGTCTCTATAGAATATATATAAGTTGTTACTTGTCTCTATAGGTGATAGCTAAGTTGATGCCTGTCTCTATAGGTGATAGCTAAGTTGATGCCTGTCTCTATAGGTGATAACTAAATTGATGCCTGTCTATATAGAATATATATAAGTTGTTACTTGTCTCTATAGGTGATAACTAAGTTGATGCCTGTCTCTATAGGCGATAGCTAAGTTGATGTCTGTCTCTATAGAATATATATATAAGTTGATGATGACAAAACCTTGTCGAAACGTTGTACATTTGCTCTTGTATTAAAGTTTTTCTTCATTACCCATTCAAGCCGTCTCCAGCCATTATTAGTCTAAAAGTGGGTTCCTCGTCATCGAATATATAAGTTGATACACTCTATAGGTGATATCTAAGTTGATGCATGTCTCTATAGATGACATATATGTTTATGCCTGTCTCTATAAATGACATATAAGTTTATGCCTGTCTCTATCGATGACATATATGTTGATGCCTATCTCTATGGGTGATATAAAAGTTGATGACAATCTATAGTTGATAACTGAGTTGATGCCTGTCTATATAGGTGATTTCTAAGTTCATGCCTAATTCTATAGATGATATATAAGTTGATGACACTCTATAGGTGATATATATGTTGATGCCTGTATCTATGGATCACATAAAAGTTGATGACACTGTTTAGGTGATATCTCAGTTGATGTCTGTTTCTATAGATGATATATAAGTTGACGACACTCTAGAGGTGATAAATAAGTTGATGAGTGTTTCTATAGGTTTGGATCGATGCAGGAACACAGATCTTCTTCTCCTATGCCATTGCTTTAGGATGTATGACAGCACTTGGAAGCTACAACGATTTTCATAACGACTTTTATAAGTAAGTTATAAATATAGTTGAATACGGTATAATATTCTGTTCTAAGAGCGTTGTTATTTAGGGTTTGTTTGCTATCTTTTTTAATTATCCTCACCTGAACTACTTCTAATGTGCGTTTAAGTTGTTCACTATCCTGTGAATTGGGTATACTAACTTGTTTGCTATTTTAATACACGTATACACATGTTAAACAATTTAAACAAATTAATCCAGAGTAACACCTCGAAAAGCTCAATGCCTGGGTATTTTAAAAAATGTTAGTGGTCGTTTGGAGGGGTGAGACTAAAAGGAATTTTACTGAAGTGGTCTATCATTGATAGTGAAGTTTGGTAGGGTGAGACTAGAAGTTATTTTACTGAAGTGGTCTATCATTGATAGTGAAGTGTTACTATAATAAAACAAGACTTACTTAAGGGACAGATATGATAAAGAGTAGTGTTACTATAATAAAACAAGACTCACTTAAGGGACAGATGCGATAAAGAGTAGTGTTACTATAATAAAACAAGACTCACTTAAGAGACAGATGCGATAAAGAGTAGTGTTACTATAATAAAACAAGAACCCACTTAAGGGACAGATATGATAAAGAGTAGTGTTACTATAATAAAACAAGACTCACTTCAGGGACAGATATGATAAAGAGTAGTGTTACTATAATAAAACAAGACTCACTTAAGAGACAGATGCGATAAAGAGTAGTGTTACTATAATAAAACAAGACTCACTTAAGGGACAGATATGATAAAGAGTAGTGTTACTATAATAAAACAAGAACCCACTTAAGGGACAGATATGATAAAGAGTAGTGTTACTATAATAAAACAAGAACCCACTTAAGGGACAGATATGATAAAGAGTCATGTTACTATAATAAAACAAGACTTACTTAAGGAACAGATATGATAAAGAGTAGTGTTACTATAATAAAACAAGACCCACTTAAGGGACAGATATGATAAAGAGTAGTGTTACTATAATAAAACAAGACTTACTTAAGGAACAGATGCGATAAAGAGTCATGTTACTATAACAAAACAAGACTTACTTAAGGACAGATATAATGAAGAATCGTGTTACCATAATATAATCAGAGTCATTTAAGGAGAAGTGGTGCGAACAAGTTTTCTTAGAATAATAAATCATTTATGCAACGAATGTACTAACAAGTATGTTCTATAATTATAATTTTTTTTTTTACATTTCACTCATCAGTGTTATCGGACGCCCTCTATAGATTAAAATATGCAAATTTTAGAACAAATTAATTTTTTTAGATAAAACTTTGGTTAAGGCTAATTGTAAATTTAAAAGCTTTACTGTAATAACTTTTTGATTTTGAAGATAATTCAAATTCAACTTTGATGAAACACATATGGTTAACACCTACCTTTTAAAAGTCTTCCCAAAAGAAAATAAATAAATAATGATTAATTTCATTTTTTAAATTTTTTAGACAGTGCATCATCATTGCTTGTTGTAACAGTGCTACGAGTCTTTACTCTGGTTTTGCCATCTTTTCTGTTTTGGGTTTCATGGCGAATCAACAAGGTTTATCCATACAAGAAGTGGCTGAGTCAGGTAAGGTCGTCCAGATGACCAAGGTGCTATGTGGTTGTCTCACCCTTCTAGAATGTGTCACATTTCACAATATTCTGTGTTTAACTACCCATACAAGATGTGATGAGTCAGGTAAGGTCGTCCAGATGACCAAGGTGCTATGTGGTTGTCTCACCCTTCTAGAATGTGTCACATTTCACAATATTCTGTGTTTAACTACCCATACAAGAAGTGCTGAGTCAGGTAAGGTTGTCCAGTAACTATACTTATGTTTCAATGTATTGAATATTTCTTATTTTTGTGTAAGCAATAATAAGTTGTTTCCAGTTAAATCTTTATGACACGTCAAAATAAAAC